TTTTTTTTTTCAATATAATGTGGCAATATGCTAAGTAGCGGGAAGGGTCTCCAAAAAAAATTTAATGCCTAAAATTTTCACGAAAAACTTTTTCCTGTCCTCTTTAAAGCGTTGTATGTTCAGTTAGAATTACCAAGCGATCAGGAAAACAAGAGTGGCTTAGCAGCTGAGCGGTTGTTGTTTCTTGGGCATTGAGTAAATATAAGTCACTCGGGTACGCTCGGCCCCGAGGTCCAGCCCCTTACCCTTTTAAATACCATTTTTGACAGAAAAAGTATCCCCAAGAACGCCTGATGTTCCGTCCTAGCGTCCCACACAGGCGTTCTTAGGGGAGTTGTCAGTTTCTGCAACCCATCCCTCCCCAGTTCCCACAAAACGCGGTGAGGGAGAGCTGAAATACGAATTCCCTAAAAACGCCTGCTTGGGAGCCTGTACTGCTTCTCAGTCACAGAGATCTAAAATTATTAAAATTATTCCTTTACATGGTTTTGGAATGCTTAACCTTGTCCCCAGGGTCTTTTAGTTTTCTAGTATGCCTGTTGCCGAGAGGCCCCTGGGAACGAGGGTTGGGGAATACTTTGTAACCACTCGTACAGTGTCATGAACTTCTTACCGGAAGGCCTTCCGCGTTTGCAAGCCACGCAGAGTATATTTTATACTCTTTACCTTTGATTCCTGAGCAATTCGCGGAATTCTGGAGACCTGATCCTGTCAATCTACAAAGGTAAGAGAGAAAAAAGGGAAAAAAAAAACACCAACGGAATTCTGTCTCCCATTTTTTGTCGTGCTTTTATAGTAACTAGGCAAAAACAAAGAAAAGAAAGTGAAATAGACTGCGAGCTTACGAAGCAGTTTCTAAATATGGACCAATGTGATACAAGCTAAGGACGACTTGTTTTTTACTCACCAAAAAATGCACGAATGATAATTTGGTGTACAAGAGAAAAAAAATGCTTAGATCATTTGTCCACGCATCGTCCCCTCTACTAACTATGGTCTCACGGAAGCTTGGCTGGAAATCAATACGGAAAGAAAGATTTTTCATAAATGTTTCCCCTTTATGAAAGGCTTTAGTCCTCTTTCATATTTAGAATTTCTTTCTTGAAATCCTGAGAAAGATAATCATAACACTAAAGAATACAGCAATATAAATGCATATAAACGGAAAGCAAAACCGGAAGTTAAGATTACTGAGAATTGGCAAAAGGAAGTCGAAGGGCTTATACTATTGAAATGACCAACGACTATGAAATGTAGCTATCTATCAAATTTGTTAAGCAATCTGCTGCTAAGAAGTGAGTGAATGATCCTTGTCCCAGTCGCCGTTACATTCATCCTCTTCACTCGTCAAAAACTCCATTCCATATCCTCAATTTCTGAGAGTAAAAGCTGTGGACTCTTTAATAACGGTGGGAAAATGCTAAGAGTTGGGTGCAAGGGATTTACAAGGAAAAACTCTAGAGGCAAACTTTGCGGTGGGGAGGGCAGGGAGATTGAGAAAAGTTTTCGCGTGGAAACATTGGTTACGAATGCAAAATAAATATTCATAAAAATGGATAGGCAAAATACCAAATTGGTACGGGGAGGCTACTCCTTTTGATGTCGCTGGGGCTTTCTTCAGTTCCCGGTTATTGATTGTAGTTCCGCTTTTGAATTCCTTGCTTTTTATAAATTATTGACCAATTTTGAAAATTTCTGTTTCTACTAACAGCGACGTGAAGCCATGCCGCTGGAAACGCTCTCTCTCAAATGTCCTTGTGGCTATATCAAACATGACGTTATGTGCTTGGGACAATGGCAGAATTACGGACAACGGATTCTCAAGTTCTGTGGCGGGCTTTTTATCTTGAATTCAAATGGCGACGGCGTCACGTGCCGTAAATGTAACAAGAAGAGTAATGTAATCGAGTTTCATTGTTCTTTCTGCGACAGGACAACCAATATTGGCGTGGAGTACCGAGTGAAGGGGCACACCGGACGAGCCGTCTCTATGCAGATGTCAGTGCATAAAACTGTTGTATTTTTCAACTAACTTCGTGAACGCGATATTGTATTGTGCATTCTAAGACACCTCCAGATTAGATTAGATATAGGTCAAGCAACTTCAACAGAGCAATGTACTGCGGAATGTTGTGTATTACTTCCTCACGGAGGTCGTGGTTTGATTAAAACAAAAGACCAAAAGGAAACTTAAGAAGAAATCAAAGAATGTTTGATGTGTTGTTAACAGATTTCGTCTTTCATTAAAATCGTTTTTCTCATATACCAATACTACGGAATAGAGGTTACAAACCGCAAGTAAAACGCTGCGAGTAGATGCTTGGCAGTGGTACATCATTACTTGTGAATCTATTATACTGATCATAGAATCAATGAGAAAAATGGGTTCCATTTGTAAGTTGGAGTTGTAATTTCCACAGTGAAAAATATGCAAATTATTCTTGTGTAGCCAATTAGCATCATTTTTAACTGGAGTCATTTCCACAATGCACCCCCCTCCCCCAATGCCCTGCCAAAATAATATAGCATGACACGTTTATGAAACGTGACTTGGCCAACTGTTGGTCTAAAAATACTGTTTTACAACAGTAATTTTCTGTTTCTTTATATATAAGCCTGGCAAACCAAATTATGTTTTAGTTAGGGTTCATCGTAGCATCTTTTAAAGAAGACATTGCAAAAGTGTAGTACTCTCCTCTGAATACATTTACATCATTTAATGGCTGCCTTCACGGAAAAAAAATCACTGTGATCGCAAGGATTGAGAGAAGAACGCATATATAAAGTGCCCAGGCCCAACTCGGAAATCACAAATAGTGTTGCAATAACAAGCAATTAGTTCTCCCCAAACCATTCAATAATTGCAGCAGTTCCAAACATAGAATGAGCGTTTCTATTCAAGCCTTCAGGTTAGGTCTTCGCATGGAAGACCCGGCTTCGAGTCCTTCCGTGATATCTGCAAATATAGCTCTCTTCTCCCAACAAAAATTTCACTGATCTATCTGCCGTAAAAAAGTCACTGAGGGTGGAAATGACCAACTCCTAGCGAGGCATGCGCCTTGTATGGAAAAATCGACCACTGGGGTCCAGAGGAGTTCACTTTGCCGTGCGGACTGTTTAAAACCCGGGGAAAACTTCAACAACAGTTTGTTTCGATCGCGTTATCCTTACATTTTCGATACATTTTCGTTTCGCAAAATATGTACCACAGGACTAAGGATATGCACAGACATGCCAAGATAGGCTCTATATTGATTAACAAGAAACAGAAAAAAGTAAATAATAGGTCTTTCTTTAACCGCGCACTTCGTGCCTCGTTGAAAAGCGTTGCTTTCCGCAAAGGGCCCTACCGCACAAACAGTGGGACAACCAGTGTTCAAACCAGACTTGCGACACGTTGGCACGGATCGGTCACAGTTATTTGCACAGTCACACCGCGACTGAGAAAACTGAAATCGGGGTCAAACAAAGACGCACTAATGGGGACGGGATCTTGCCTAGTTCCTGTACGGCGTCTCAGGCCTCAATGCATTTCAGTGACGTACTCGAAACAAATTCGCAAGGAACACTTGTCCCAAAACGCATATGCCGCGCGAAATAATGAGGACTAGATATACAGGCAAGGCAAAAGGGGTTCTATTAGAGAGTAACGGCACAGGTGGGAATTGCCTGATAGTGCAGTACAGTGGAAGAGAGCTTAACGTTGACCTTGTTTCGATACCAAGTTTATTACAGTCGAATATCTCCAAAAGGACACCACTCTATTACAGACAGAGAGTTTTCTTTTGCAAATACACCAAACTAATGTTCAAAATAAACAATCCTCACTTCAATAATAGGGACAACACTTGTAATCAGTGTAATGCAGACACTTGGATCTGTTGCGGTGTTCGTATTTTATAGAAGGTTTCGCATTGTATGTAAATAATTGACTTACGCTAACTAGCAATTATACAGCACGATTTTCATACTAAGCATGAAGTTTGTATCAAAACAAGGTCGACGCCAACACGCTCTCATTCACTTCAAGGCTACTGTACTAAGAGGACAAGTATTGAACGGTCTGTTAGAACTTACTCATCACAGACGCCATTAAGATCAACCTCAACTTTATTTATTTGTAATACCTTACAGAAAACTAACTAGCAAAGCGAGGCTTGCGGGAAAAAAGCTGGAACTAAAAGAATACCGAGAGTTACAAAACATTTTGACAAAAGTCTCTTTATATATATATATATATATAAAATCAGCTAATATAAAACCTAAACAAGGCAGTTGTGCCACTTTATCTCTTGACATAAAACACTTTGGATAGGTTATTTAAACGAAGTCTACCTTAGACCGCGGTTTAGCAAATCTTTGGACCTCCAGTGAGTCTTTCTTAGTGGGCTATTTTAAGAGGATAACTGCTTTTCTAGTCAACACTATATGCTTTCATGAAACGTTTGACGATAAATGGTGTTCACATAAAAGCGTTCGCTAAAGCGAAAATGGCTTAGAACGGGGTTTTGTCAAACACTGGCTAAACTCTGTTTAAATAACTGGCCCATTTAGATTGATGAAGGCTATGTCCACAATATACCGGATATAAAGGTTTACATGTCGGTACGAAAAGCTAGCCAGTATAGTATGAATACCTTTCCGATATGTGACTTTCCAGTTTATAGAGATCGGCGCGGAGCAGCTTCGCTCCGTTGCAAAAATCGCGCCGAAATCACCGTTCTTATGTGTGAACAGAAGCCCTATCCGGTATGACCGGTTTCCGCGTGCCGCTTGCAAGAGACGGATGACATTTCAGCCTAGTTTAGTGTGAACATATCCTAAGACCTACGGGGCCTACTACACACGATTGCGCATCAGAGTCAATCAAAGCCGTAAATTCCATTACCATAAAACACTCCAGCTCTCACAAATGGACAACTTCGAACTCTGTTAAAACAATTCTCAGTCTAACAAATCATATAAAATGTTAAAATAGCTTAAAACAAATAACTGGTCACTCTGGACACAGATCTTCAACTTATCTAACCGACCACCTTAAAATCCTGAAGTAACTTTTCGACTGCGTCTTTAAATGGAGGAACGCTTAAATCAACACCTACTACATTTGGAGGGATTTTTACACCTTTCATGTACTCTACAGTACCATCACTGTTTACATTTAACCCCATGGCACATTCGCCTCCATTTGTAAGTCCACCTAGAATGGCCACAAATACTATTTTTTCGTTGTTCCCTTTCCGTTTTACTTCGGTTATACAAAAAGCCCCGCGACGATGGTCACCCTTCTTTTCAAACCTGTCCTCACTAAAACAAAAAATGTTAAGTTTTCTGTCATAGGATACGTCCCTTGGAAGAAGATGACAATAGGCACCCTGCAAAACTGGTGAAGTGTTGTTGGCCTTTTTGCCAGCTGATGGCAGTCGAGTAGTGGCTGACACATTAGCCGTGCCAAAATCAACGACCAGTTCGTAATAGTGAGTAGGAAAAATCCTAGTCTTTTTATCTTCTATAGTAAATTTGTTAGTTTTTGTAGTAAGCAAAGTGTCTTCTAAACCTTTTATAGAGCTACAAACAGCTGTAACAGTTTCGACACTGCCGTATAGCATACAAACGTGCAAAGGGCCACAGAAAAACCACACTGGAAGAACTTTCGGCAAGTCGGGAGGCGATTGAAAAATAGCACCTGTAAACAATTCGTAAAAGAAGCGCCTGTTTACCTCATTACCTTTCAGCATCTCATCAATTTCGCAATTTGGAGCAAACAGAAACAACTTTACCCTTGCATCTATCTTCCCAGTTTCTTTTTCCCAGTTTAACAAGTAATTTCGCAAGTATTCTAATGCTTGAATACGTATACATGTACTGTTTTCATAAGGAATAAAACACAACAATCGCCAAATGATGGAAATTAAACAGTGGTAAAGCCATGGAAAACGGTCAGTTTTTACATTTTTTTCAATCTTGCCATCAACATTTGCAAGAAATGGTTTAAAAAACTCTGGATTAAAATAGTCCTCGCCCCGTTGAAATACTTGTTCACAAACTTTACAAAATGCATAGTATCCAAAATTGGACACTCCCCCTTCTGCTCCGCGAACATGATCAAAGAACTCATGTCGCCCAGCTTCCTTTAGTATTGAGTGAGGAATAACGTGTCCCAGTCCTTCGGGCTTGCTATTTAATTTTCTACATAAGAGACAAATAGGCAGGCGTTCTCTTACTGCCCATCGCGCCAAGAGTGCGGCCAGCTTATACATATCATCTGGACTGACCTCTCCATGACGTCTCTTTTGCTCTATCACCTTTTGTTTCAGTTTCTTATATTCTTCACTGCCAGATGCTGTTGCCATTTTGTCCAAGAGGGGAGGCAGTTCATCGCTCAAAATCTTTCTTCTTTCACTCTTCTTCGCCACCTTGAACCAGAGACTTTCATGCAGCCCAAACTTGTCACGACAGCTATTCTGTGCAACAGGAGAACACACTATATATTAGCAGACAGTTGTAGCATTTTCTGCCGACCACAGACCACCACCAAGAATACCTCTGATATATAGGTTTTACAGGACATAAATAAATCGTTAAAGAGAAAATGTAAAAATGGAAATTCACAAGTGTACACATGCTGGGCTCAAAAAGGGTGACTAAGTGATCGCTACCCAACTCGCACTTGAACAGTTTTCTGAGCTACTAAAATCTTTAGTGTATCAGTAGGAGTTCATTTAACTATTTAAGTAACTTTATTGAACAAGACATTACTAATAGGTTTCAATATGCGATAGTCACGATGATAAAGTTAGACTACGAGTAGTCCCCCATTTTTGCTCAGGGATAGTAGAGCAAGCGAAACGCGAGGGCGCGTGAAAGTCACCTCACGCGAGAAAAGGCGACACGCGGCAGTGATTTTCACGCGCGCTCAAGTTGCGCTCGCTCTTCTATCCCTGAGGAAAAATGGGGGACTACTCGAAGTCTATGATAAAGTTGGTGGCTAATTGTAACAGAGTTTAATCTGTTTTTCACAAACTAAGTAGAAGCTCAAGGGTTAAAAACCAACTTATCTTAAGTTTTATATGTTGGCAAAAATCTTAAGTGTGGGCAAAACAACTTAGATCACATTGGCAAATCAACTTCAGTTCTGATAAATCTTCTTGTACACAAAACAACTTCACGGGTTTTTATCATTATTTTTTGAAAGTAAATGTTGTAAAAAAATCGCCTACAAATTTGTCCAAACTACCGGTATTTTCTTAAGTATGCATGGAATGTCCCCAATACAGGTTGAGACTTTCACAATTGTATTTTTGAATTTCTTAAATTTAATGTTTCAAATTCCTCATTGTTTGGATTAGTACTGGGCATGACCAAAAAGCCCATTTTGTGACATCATCAGTTAAGACATCACAAAAATGAAACTTGAGAATTCAAATTAGACAAGTTCTTCAATATTTTTATGTGTACTGTATATGAGCTAAGTATCATAAGGTTACCTTCTTATGAAGGCCACTAGAGAGTCATGTGACTGGTAACCATACAAATGTGTACATGAAATCCACACTATTTGTGGAATATCATTGCTTGTATTAATTTCAATAACATGCCTTTAAAGGGAAGAATTAAAAAAATTCTTGTGCACATATCAGGCCCCTACGGAATCCATTGGCCACTGAGCTTAAAAAAATCTCCAGCGGGTAAAGAGAGTCAACTCAAGTGTAAAACATTATTGTTTGGAATTCTGGAACCCACCTAATTTACACTATTTGTAGAAATGTCAACTAATGAGTTTTAAAATGTCAGTGTGGTGCTGAAGTACAGTAACCTGAGAAAACAGCCAACCTTTTGTGACGACTGGCTGGTACATGTATCCTTGCAAAATGAAATCTGACGAATGAGCACAGAAATTCCATACCGATGATGTGTCACCATCGGTAGCGCTTCTCATGAAGCAAAATTAATTGGTTGAAGCAAACTTCCTACATGTACATTATTAACCGTGTATATTTCGTATTTTTTTAAAAATGTTATGAGATCCTTTTTGAAAACCATATTTTATATGAAATAGTTATCTCAATAAGGATTATTATTATTATTTCATGGCACAGCCAATGATCAGAAGTACTAAGTCTGGGTAATACCATCAAACGTCAATGATATGAAATTTCTGTGCTTGTTTCTCAGGTGTCATTTTGTAGGTAAACTAGTGGTGGTGTCACAAAGGCTTCCCATATTTCTCAGGCTACTGCTGTGGCTCCTATACTTTTAAGACACCAGTATATACAAGTAAGCTTAAGGGTAGCCTGCAGTGCAGGCGTATTTTGGGTGGGGGAAACCTTGTTAGTCAAGCTTGCTTTACCAGAGCCAGACTCTAAAAATTCAGTCGTTTCTTTTTTTTCGTCGGTGGGACCTAGTTTGTAGGCCACGCGTTCCTAGCGAAGCTGACCATGGAAACTGGGGATAAGAATCATGGCGACTTTCACTGTACGCAGATGAGTCTCGTGATGAGCATGCGGTATATTTTCGGTGATGACTGAAATGATGGATGTAAGTTTGGCAATGATGTAATTTTCCTCGAATGGAGGCCCTTGATTTTTTTGTAATTATGCACGACATACAGGAAATATCCCCAAGTAGGATGAGAAAATATTATAGCAGGGAAATCCTATTTTGTGGTGTTTTAAGGCGTTACGTTTCTCAGGGAATATTGTCGCAATTACTGGAAATCTACAGTTAAATAGATTCACTTTGTTTTATGCATTTAATTGATAGATTTTCGCAGTTGTTTGAGGATGTGAAGTAGTGTTGCACTTTATAAATACTTGAGATATCAAGTATCCACTGTCACGTAATTTTTACGTGCATACCTGCGTGTCCATAGAATAGAAATCCCATATTGAGCTTTCCGGAACGGGTTGGTCCAAGAATTCTACCCCTTGAAAGTGTTGATTATTTAATTGGAACAACTGATCACTTCAGTGGTCGAAAAAAAAGAATAATCTTAATGAGCAAAACTTCAAGGTTTACTGGAAAATTAGGATCGAGGATTGAGGATCGAGGATCGAGGATCGAGGATCGAGGATCGAGGATCGAGGATCGAGGATCGAGGATCAAGGATCGAGGAATCAGGGATCGAGGATCGGTAAAAAAGAACTTGAACATAAAATAAATAAATAAATCGTGGATCAGTGGTGATGTGGGCCGCAGACTGTAGATAAATTTCACAGAACATAACCCCGTTCGCTGCACTGAACACTAAATTCAAGTAAACTAATCCGATTCTGTCTGAGTCAGTGATTGTTTTGACCAGAAAGTGAAATTTTCCTGGAAAATGAAACACTTTATCCCAGTGATACTGTAATAAAAGAAAAAAACTTTAACCCTTTTAATTTTTAATTGTACATTTGCTTTCAGTACTCCATTATTTTTCTTGTAATTGTTGTATGCACGACCCCACCAGCAATGCTGATCTTTTTACCCTGCTAAAATAAAGTTCTTGTCTATCGATCGCTTTTAAATATGATTGACGGCACACTATGGTCTGCTACCAGGGACTCCACAGTCTGAGCTTATACGTCAAGTTCAACCCCTTTACAGTTTAACTTTCTAGTGTGACTAATTTCAGATGAGTCAGCACCCTTCCATGAGTAAAATGGACAAGTTAGAGAAAACTTTTCAACTTGTACACGTGTATTCCGTGGATTGATTTGATATATTTCAGATATCCATATAATGTTAGGGTCAATTCATTTGTTTTACAGACGAGCCACATGTAGCGCCTAGCTGTGAGAAGACAAAAATTTACTTGTTGATGTAGCTAATTGAAGAAGCAGGCCTTAAGGCAATTGCCGGAGCAATATCTAAAGAAAAATAGTTTTGAATGACCTGGAAAGCCTTTATGCATGCTATTACGATTTCCCAGAAAGATTTTATTATAGGGTTAAGCTCCAGAAAAGGTGTGTTAGTTTTTCCTCTTCTTCTTTACAAAAAAAGCACCCAGGGTTTTCCTTTATTCGTATCTTAGTCAAAAAGTCATTTGTTGGCAAGAAGCCTGTGCAGAAGGTTAAAATGAAATAATTTCATGGAGTTTTGTGCTTCTTGTAATTTTTGAAACTAACTGGTAAGCAGCGGTCCAATTCACACCATTTTGTGTTAGGCCACAAGCTAGCTTCCATCCATTTGTACTGGCTATGGGTCGGGTTGATTTTGCATTGTACTTTTAGGCTTTTTACTGTAGTTCTTAAATTCTATTATTTTTTATTAGGCTTTTTAAATGTAACAGTTCATGAAAATTCTTGATGTAAATTAATTTTCTAAGATACAGGGCCCCTATGGAGACCAGCCTCAGAGCTGAATGGGCTTAACCCTACAAATAAAGTTTTACTTTACTTTACTTCACATGTTGGGAAAATTTATTGCCAATACTGTACCTCATTTCAAAATGTAATCGCTGTGTTGCCTCAGTTCGAGATATCTTGATCTTCCAGCTATTTGCTTCAGTGTCTGCGATTGAATGAAATGGAAATCATACAGTGCTGCTTGTTTACTTGTTTCAGTTAAAAATACATGTAGTTATGGTGAGTCCTTGGACTCATCTTGTGAACAAATCATGAGTCCCACTCCAGAACCATTAAGACCCAGTTCAAAAACAATGAGTAAGTCCTAAATTGAAAATGCATGGGGCTTTACGTGACCAGACAGTTAAAAGATATTCCTTTGTAAAGCACAGCGAAGACTATATTAAGGTGCGGCACGTCTTTGGGGATTTTTATGTGTGAGGGACGCAGGACGGTGAGTCAGTTAACAAAATCACTGCTGTTTCCAAAGTATCATCAGAGATCAAATAGGAGACTCGAATGTCTCAGACACGGTGTGTACATTTCAGCTTTTATTCGCCTCACTCCTCCCGATCTGGGTCTAAAAATGTCGCAATTTTTTTGACGTTTGAAACGTGTCTCTTAAACAGGTCCTTAAAAACCACCGTATGTGAAGTATATTAAATCTGTGTAAAAAACGAATGAACCAACAATCTTACCTTTACTCTAAGAGAATGTGGTTCCAAGATATGTCGGGAAAGACAGCGGTGATAAAATGTCAGAGTCGGGCATTTGATAAGTGCAGGCGGCGGGCGGCGGAGAAGGTGGGGGGGGGGGGGGAAGAGTGGGGGCGTGGGCCCGAAAAAAGAGTTTTCACCAATTTGAAAGGCGGGCACCCCCGGGGGGGGGCGCGGGAAATGTGGGTTATTTTTCCCCAGGATAAGGCTTTTTAAAACAAAAAAGGACCAGGGAGGGGAATAAAAAAAGGT